AAGAGTCTCGGTCTTAAGATAAGACATGTTGGACTATAGAAATGCTATATATATAATATTAATTTCAGTTGGATTGTATATCTAAACTTAACATTTTGTTCACCTTTTGCTTTATATGAAACTGATTTTTAGTGCGTGAACTTTTTTGTTTTGCAATATGATTTTTTTGTGTTTCTGTTGAATTTCTATGAGAGATAGATTAACACATAATTGTTATTGCAGATGTTGAATTGTTTGTGCTACTATCTTTTATGTTGTTGTTTCCATTTGCATAATTAAAAAGATATTGTCGTAGAGCTTTGTCTATGCTACTATCTTTTATGTTGTTGTTTCCATTTGCATAATTAAAAAGATATTGTCGTAGAGCTTTGTCTATGCTACTATCTTTTATGTTGTTGTTTCCATTTGCATAATTAAAAAGATATTGTCGTAGAGCTTTGTCTATGCTACTATCTTTTATGTTGTTGTTTCCATTTGCATAATTAAAAAGATATTGTTGTGGAGCTTTGTCTGTGCTTTTTATTGCTAGTTTTTAATTGTTGTCTTCGAGAGAACATACCATATTTTTTTCATCCGTATTGTGTGCTTATTGTGTTGTTGGCAAAGACTTGCAATTGTGTACTCTATAACCAATGTTTTCTTGACTTTTCTAATAAGTGTCAAGTATGTTTTTGTGTTATTATGTATTGTAGCCTATTTAACATAAAACTTTTAGGTGAAAGATTTAGGTCTGAATGCCTGATAAAGTGTGCATGTATTGTATGCTTACAAACGTTTCTTTTTTAGCCTATATAATTCACTATTTCAATAAAATTGAACACATCACTTTCAAACACATTTATGGTATAACTCACTTGCTTTGACTCTTTCAAGGAATTTTCGTTAAGTATATCATTTTGCAGCTTTTTTTATAGTAAATTGTTTTTTTTCATTGTGTATTCATGCTTTATGTTAAACCTGATTTTTTAATGACATTATTGTTACTTTTTGCACAAACAAAATAGTAGCAATTAACTAATTACAAATTGTTTGCAAGACATATATTAGTTGTTTAAGATTTTAAGATGAGATGGATTTTATTGTAATCAAAATAGTGAGATAAATAAATGAAATTAAATGGAATAACGTATGAAGTGTTTTTTTATGGTAAATTTAAAGGGAATTAACAGAATAATAAAAATTATATTTGCTATAAAAGTAATGTGATTTATTGAGCTTTGAACATAAAGCTTATAACACTTATACATTAATAAAAACAAATAATATATTATTCCTTGCTCATAATTATTTAATTAAAATTATAGATATGAATGCAAATTGGTTTAATAACCTTTTTGAAGAGGAATATGAAAATTTCATGAACAAATATTGCTTAATATATTTCACATTTATACATTGGTATAAATAATGGTACTCATATAGATTTTAGTAGTGATACTATTGATGATAATAATGTAAACGATGATAATGATAATGATGATAATACTGAAGATGACGATGACGATGACAATGCAGGCGATTCATTTTGGCGTAGAGAATTTGTTTGTTGTAAACTAGAATTGTGCAGAGCAGGTATGCTTGCATTGTGTTATAATAACTATATTTATAAGTAACCTTATATGATTTCGTACAACTCATGAATGCATTGGTTGAACAAAATTTTAAATGTACACTAGATATGTCATGTAAATATATTTAGGATGAATGCAATGGTGTTCGAAGTTTTTTTTTTTTGTTTAGAAACACAATATGGACTGAAACTATTAAGGTGGATGTTTGTTATAAAGAAAGTTAACATGTTTCTTTATACTTTAGTGTTGAGTGCTTGTAATAGGGAGGTCCAAAAGAGATTTTAATATTCCAGTAAAAAATGAGTAGGTATTTCAATAAGATTCTAAATATTGTATGTTTGCTTTCAGCTGAAATAATAAAACCAATTGATCTATAATTTTTAACTACACCATGAGAAATCGCTATGAACCTGAGATATATCTTATATTTTAAAGTAACATCTAAGATTATCAGTGATTGAATATATTTGTCTTTTCATTGTCATTATATAATCTATTTGGTAATTCATTTACAATTAATATTTTTATTTTTATTTTTAAAATGATGCAGGAGCAATCGATGGCACACTTGTGTGTCCCAGGAGAATCAAATATCATTTATTAAAAGAAAAGGAGTACCAATCCAAAATATTATGATGATAAATAGCTTCAACATGCAATTTATTTTTGTTTGGTTTGGATAAAAAGATAGCGTGCATGATATAAAAATTCTTCATGGGGTCATTTAAAAAAAATTCATTTAATTAATTTTTGATCGCATGGTTGAAAGTATTTTTATTTTAAATATCTTGGATAAATACAAGAAAATAATATATTTTAGACTCTAATTATCCAAATAAATATAGATTTTTGGGTCATATAAATGTGAAAAATATTATATTTCAAAATTTTATCATCGAGGTCGGATGAGGAGTCAGGAGGAGTTATTTAACCAGGTTTATTTCCCTGTTCGATATGTAATTAAGTGAATTGTTGGGATGCCAGGAAAAAAAAAAAAAGAAATTTACAAAATATGTTAGTGTTTCTGTATATGGTACAAGTACTAATTGTTGTTGTACAAATGACTTTTCATAATCATATATAAAAAAAAGTCCGAACAAGTGTTACTTATAATAAGTTTGAACATAAATTTGATTCTGTGCCTCAGGATTTTCCACGTAACGTTCAAGATGGAATTGCTTCAAGTTTAATAGGAGAATTGTAGAATTTTTAATTTTCCAAGCTATTAATCTTAAATATGTATTAATTGCTTAATGTTATGTGTATATTAAAAAAATTAATATTTTATTTAATCATTTCAAGTTTAATTATAATTTCAACCAAAACAATAATAACTTGTTTTGATGAAAAAAATAAATCCAACAATGAATTTAGATAAAACAACTATACCAAAATAATATTTTAAAAATAACTTTTCTTAAATACAACAACAAAACAACCACAATTCCCAAAATACACTTAACGTGCATTGACCTCCACCGTCTTTTATTCAACGATTCTCTCCCACCAACCTGGTTGTTACAAGTTGCAGCCACTGTCTTCCACGTTCTTCTCAAGCAATGCGATGTCTTAATCGAGCTGAGGGCCTTTACCTCACTATTTTGTTCGCCCTTTCTCGTTCCAAAAAGGTTCCAAATTCTTTCGATTCGCCAAATTAGGCGGTCGAAGTTCGGCCCAGTGACTGAAATTTCTAGAAAAAGAAAAAAAAATTAATGAAGTTTATTAAACCCGGGTGTTTCAATTTTTTTATATAAAAAATGGTTATATTATTTTATTTTAAAAAAATTAGATTTTAACTAGATTTTTAAGACTTCGAGTTCAATTAATTAAGTTTCAGATTAATTCATCGAGTAAAATTAGGTTTAATAAATGTGGAATTTACGGTCAAAGAAAAATAGGAGGGGGGTTCTTGCACACTGTGGAAGGTGAAACTGAAGACTTCTTATCATCTTACACTTCAATCAATGAGTATTTTTATATATAATTGTAAAACACAATACGAGGTTAATTGATTTAGGATAATATGTATGTTTAAAAATATTACTGTGATTATTTTTAATATGTTTTTTATATTAAAATATATTAAAATATTTATTTATTTATTTTTTAAAAAATTATTATTAAAATCTGTGGATCCAAACAATCTAAAATATATATAAAAAATTAATTTGTAGTAAAAAAGTTAAAATTAAATTTTATGAAAATGCAAATACAATTACGAGTCCAAAGGCTTGTAATATCTAAGTCACAAATAAAAATAATTTATGACAATATGTGAAAAAATATTATTATACTATTTTATTAATAATATTTGTGGGGCTACAATTTTTTCTAAAGTGTTTTAGCTCTTTTTAATGGGTGGCTCCTTTAAAAATATTTAATCAAACATTGGCTATTAGATCTATTTAAATTCACAACTCAAAATCTAACCTAAACTACATTTTAAGATTTTAAGCTCAGCAAAAAAAATTAATACGATATTTAAAAAAAACAGTAGAAAATAATCTCAGTCAATAGAAAATACCACTGGATGAATTTCTTCTTGCTCCGAAGGGGATCGATACCACAGTTAATCAAACTATCCTAGTAAAAAATAAAACAGTAGAAAATAATCTCAGTCAATTCTAATATTTTTTTAAGAAAATAAATAAATAAAATAATATTATTTTAATAAAAATAATCGATCCAAATTATCAGTAGTATTCTTCAAATTCTCAGTAATCCACAATTGATGATTTTTTATTTTTTTCAAACCGCATCCCGAGTCACCGCTTTTTCAAGGTATCGGGCATCTTAGATCCGGATCACACGGAAGGTCTTAATCCATGAAAGTCTGGGACGTGGGTTGGTGGCTGCCCTATTCTCCCCTACCCATCTTCTGGTCCCACCACCATTACCAACTGCCATCACTACCCAAGCAAATGGCATCGCCCCAGCTGGCGTCAAAGGGTCATAGATTCCCAAAATCATTCCAAAGTCAGTCCCTGTAATTCATAAAAAATAATTGGCTAGTCTTCATGGTCTTGAATATATATATATATATATTCCTGTGTTTTCAAGTGCATTTATAACCTAATTATTTTCATTCACACATAAGTTATTTTTTAATTTATTTTAATATTATTAAGAAATAGAAAAGGTTGATGAAGATATAGCTGGGATGGAAGATAGGATGGAAAACATTTTTTAAAATAAAAAATATGACAGTATTGATGAGAAGATAATACCTTTTCTGGAATAAAAAAACTACTAAATTAAGCTTGATTAACACTAATCAAGGAAATTCCTGGAATTTAAAAAACTATTTAATTAACTTTTCAAAACTAAAATGAATAATTTATAATTTAATTCTATAATTTTTTGTGACATTAAGGAAGTAGAGAAGAAGTACAAAGAGGAAGTAAAAGATAGCGAGAGCGCAGCCACCCTACGTTTATCAAATAAATAAATAGAGAGCAACTAAAAACTTATCATTCGGATGAGAGCCTAAAGGATCCACAAGTTTCTGAAGATCAACGGCTACCCTACATTTCTCTCCACGCCACCACCAACCCTGGCCACTGCTTTCCTTTGCGTCGCCTCCTTCCCTCTCCCCTCACTGTCTTTCCCGACCTCCCTGTAAGCCATATATACTTATTATCACATCTGCTTTCAGCACCTCCCCTAAACCATACCTTCTTTGCTGTTTACCATTCTTTTGCTCTTCCTCGTCAGCAGGTAGCTCAGATTGTGAATTTTCTTGTTGATTCATTTCTGGGTGCCTGAAAAGATTGTTTCCCTTATCCCTTTGATTGTTTTGGCACCTGGGTGCTTGAAAGTTTTCAAAATTATCATCGTTTCTCATAAAAAGTTTGTTTTTTAACATTCATTCTGATTTGTTATTGGATTTCTTCGGCTGATTGGTGGCTATTTGATTCAGTAAACTCTTTTTTTGGTTTTGTTTTGATCTTTTGGGATCTGGGGTTGGTGTAGTTGGTGGTATTTGTGGTTTGTCAATGGGCGCTTTGAATGAGGAACATTTCATTAAAGAGATTGAGAATGGAGTGGAACTTGATTGCCTCGATCTGGGATTTGAGGACCAACCGGAGACTGTAGCTATCGAGGATGCTGTGAAAGTTCTTTTGCAAGGTCTTGGCGAGGACATTAATAGAGAAGGCCTTAAAAAGACCCCGCTTCGCGTTGCCAAGGCGCTTCGAGAAGGAACCAAAGGTTATTATCCATACAAATTCCAATTTTGTTTCCACACATGCTATTAATTTAATCATTAACTCTCATCTGAATTAAACGCACTTGGCTAGTAAATATTCATGCTTACGTTCCAGCCCTAAACAATAGTTTCCACTACATGGTTGTATTTTGCTTTTGGCTTATAAGAACTCGTCTTTGGTTGGTTCCTTGGCTCTTTTTTTTAACCCTGTTAACCTGTGTGATGACTGATTTATTTTTCTCTTATGGAGTTTAAGGATTCTATTTTGAGGCATTCTTTGATGAGGTTCAGTTTGAGTTACCTAACTTGTCTTGTTCATATATCATTCCATTTTAATGCCGCATTTATTGTCCCATTTTTCTTGGTTTATGCAAAAACAAATGTGTATGACCTCTACATTCTATGATTGGTCTCAACTTCTCACAACCAACTCCACACCCTGGAACTAGGCAGGCTCTGGTGGTAGGATTGATCGCGGTCTGAAGTTGATCCTTTAAATTGACAATAAGTAACAAATACACAGATGCATCGACACACTTCCAAAATAAGAAAATGGCTGTGTTCTATGCGCGGCATAGATGCACTGACTTGAAAGCTCTAAATGGTTCCTTGTGTAGTGTAAACTGTAAAATATCATCTGAAATTGCGTGATGATTATGATGCAGAATGAAGAGAAAGAAATGAGTTTTTGGTTCAAAAAATTGTATTTGGATGTATTATTTATTGTGATTGCTTCTTAAATAGGATTAGTTTGGAGATGGAAGTTTGACTTTGCTAAGTACTCACTGTGGCAAGTTCGTTATCGTATTTTTCAGGCTATAAACAAAAGGCAAAGGACATTGTTCAAAGTGCATTGTTTCCAGAAGTTGGTTTGGATGATGCAGTTGGTCATGCAGGCGGAGCAGGCGGGCTTGTGATTGTTCGGGATCTTGACCTGTTTTCATTCTGCGAATCTTGCTTGGTTCCTTTCCAGGTTAAGTGTCAAATAGGTTATGTCCCATCTGGTCAGAGGGTTGTAGGATTAAGCAAGCTCTCGAGAGTTGCTGACGTGTTTGCCAAAAGACTCCAAGACCCACAGCGTTTGGCAGATGAAATCTGCTCAGCTCTGCATCTTGGTATCAAGCCAGCCGGTGTTGCCGTCATACTCCAATGTTCACATATTCAGTTCCCAAATACAGAGCTACCTTTCCTTGAGTCCAATCGCCATGGTTGGGTTAAGGCACTGGTCCATTCAGGTTCAGGTGTTTTTGAAAATGAGCTTGCTGATGTTTGGGATGATTTTTTGAGTCTCCTGAAGTTCAGAGGAATAAATGTTGATAAAACTCTGATGAAAGACCCAAAGAAGCAGTGTTGGTGTCCTTCCCAATTTTCCTCGAGTGCTGAAGTCACCGGACGGCCCAACACAGGAATGCTTACAGCGGTTACTTCAATTCTCACCTCTTTGGGTGAAAACCCATTACGGAAAGAGCTTGCTGGAACTCCTAGTCATTTTGTCAAGTGGTTGATGAATTTCCAAAACGCCAATCTAGAAACGAAACTGAATGGCTTTGCTTGTGGCAGGATGAATCCTCTTAAACAAAATGGGGAAGTCAGCCATAATAAGCGGATGTATACCGAGCTGAATCTATCATTTTGTTCCCAGTGTGAGCATCATTTACTTCCCTTTTATGGTGTTGTGCATATTGGGTACTATGCTGAAGAAATCACCCCTGTCATTAAATCCCGTTTACAGTCGATAGTACGTTTTTATGGTTTCAAGCTCCAAGTACAGGAAAGACTTACCAGGCAGATTGCCGAGACTGCTTCATCCTTTTTAGGTGGAGATGTGGTGGTCGTTGTGGAGGCTAACCATACTTGTATGATTTCTAGAGGTATAGAGAAATTTGGAAGTAGTACAGCTACAATTGCTGTGCTTGGTCTATTTTCAACAGACCCTGCCGCAAGGGCCAAGTTTTTGCAGAACATTCCAAATCCTGCTTCAGGAGGATCAGGATTCTAATTCAAACTTAGCTAGTGCGTCTCTGCAAGTGGTTTGAGCTAATTCCTACGCCTTTTCCTGGTTGCATATTTCTTTTGCAAAACCCCTAGATTGAAATTTAAGGCCTGTCATCTTTCATGATTACTTTTTTGGCACAATTTTCCTGTTAGACATGTGAATGAATAAGTTCATCACATGAAAAAGAAAATAAAAAAGAAATAGAATTTCTGAATGTCTACCTTTATTATCTCTTGTTTCTGTTATATATATATATATATATCACCTTCAAAATTTACAACATTGTTTTTGAACATATTAAAAAAAAAAGGTTTTAAATAATTTTTTTTACTAAACGTTTTTTTGAAGTTGACAAATCTATTCGAGTTTGATAAGGTAAAGAGGGCTGTGGATTAATCAACCAGGTCACTTGAATTAATTAAGTTAATATTTAAACTGATTTAAAAATAAATGTAGTCAAAATTTAAATAGCAGTCATAGATTGATTTATCTGGCAGGGAGGAACTGAGTTTCATGTAAGAACAATGAAGTGGGAAGATTTTTGTGATTACCCATAAATAGAAGTGAATAAGAGAGTAGTTTATTTTAATTTCCTAATTCCAATTTTAAATGCTAAATGCTCCTACCATCCACTTGCACCATCCACAATTCTTTTTAGATATTTTTCATATGTTTTCCCCTTTTTCAATGAAACTACATGGAAAAAAAATTATCTTTCCTATTTTATCTTCAATTTACAGATTTTTACATTTCTCAAAACTAAAATATCTATGAGAATCTATCTAGTGACATTGTTGGATGACAATTTAATTTAAATTTAATGGATATTAAGTCGACTAAACTCAAATAAATAAATATTTTTATGGATTTAATAGGGATATTAAATAAAATATAAATATTATCAATCCAATATGAAATCCGCTTCAACCTAAACCGAAATATATATTTATATTATATAAATATATTTATTGAGTATTTAGGTTTTTTTTAATACAATATGATATATACATGCTATAATAGTGATATAAAATACACATATAAAAAATATTTATTATTTAATATACATATATATACTTCAAAGATATATATTAACTATTTGATTTTTTATTAATTAATAAATAACGAATATCCTAAACCTAAAGGATAATTTATAAATATCTAAATTTTTTATCCAGTAAATAATAAATAAAATATAAATACAATCCAGTTCCCCAAATACTCCAAATAATAAATAATTTCTTTGATAAATAATTGGATTTTCAAGAGTGGATGGTCAAGGTGAGAATTAAATATTCATATTGCCAAATAATACTTAAAACCTAAGCAGGATCATACAACCTTAAAATTCCCAAATAAGCAACTAGAATAATCATAAAACGTTAAGATTATTACTAAATGATCAAACATGAATCCTTGTCGTCTTTCTCCCTTCCTTGTCAAGTAGCCTGTAACTGGAGAAAAGTCATTACATGTTTTGAATATTTAGGTAACATGCATGGACATGCTACAATCTTTGCTATGATGTTATGGATAATTTAATTTAAAAAAACTAATTAAATATGAAAATATAAAAATTTATGAATCTAATTAAATCTAAAAAACAATAGACAAGTTGAGAAACTTGACTATGATATTAAATACGAGACTTAGTTGTTCCTGGATTTTTTTTTTTTCCTCACATGTTCTTGGTGTTGTTTCACAATGTGGTATAATTATTTTTTAAATTTATTTTAGTTTTTAATTATGTTTTTTTGTGAGTTTTTAAATAATTTTATTATATTAATATTAAAAATAATTTTAAAAAAAATATTATTTTAATATATTTTTAAATAAAAATTACTTTAAAAAAAATTATCTCAATCAAAAACAATCAATTCATTGATACATTACAGTTTACACAACAGTACCGGATAACCCAACAATTTACGTACGCCAGGAGAGATGTTTCAATCCTGCTGTACCATGTTCCAGAATCATTAGACCTGAGAGTACGAAATGTAAATATATATATTTCTAGTTCTGATTCACTCAGTTTTCATAGCCAAACAGGTATACATATTTGTTAACTGCTAGGTTTTTTTTTTTTTTCTATAATGAATGCCTGGTAGAAAAACATTGATCAAGGAAGGCAGTGTTGGCCAAAGAAATGATCATTGACATAGAAACTACATAGATTCTTAGCATGGGATAAGATCTCTAATTTCTTTTTGCCCACATGACCCAGCATGCGAGCAAAGAGAAATAACAGCCCATGAACATCCAACAGATTCTTAAGAAAAGCTATGTAAACATGATGATTGCAGAAATTATAATGTTCATAAAGAGGAGATAAAGGAGAAGATAAAGCAGTAGAAATAAGTGCTGCTAGCATGCAGCATTTTAAATTTCATTAGCATTGAAAGAAAGAACAACCATTGCAACATTTTATTTATTCTTTTGACTTAAAGGCAGACTCCACATCTTCTACTTCATGTGCAAGTCATGAAAATATCCAGAAGGGTTTTTCTCAAAAGCATCCCTAGATATGCGAACGTCTTGACCAGGAGCTTTCATGGTCCCATCTTTTCCTGAGCCAGTGACAGAACCAGTGACAGTAGCTCCAATTGCAGGAGCTTTGGTTGCATCACCACCACCTGGTATACCCGAAGACTTGTTGGATCCAGACATCTTGGCCAAGTTGTATATCTTTTTAACAGTGAAAGTGAAAGATTTTGTGTCAAGTATCACTCTTCTGTTTCAAAACATAAGAGAGGGGTGGTGCTTGTATAGTGCACTCTGGGAACTTGAGGATTCATTTTGTATTTAATTTTTTCTCTTGAACTTGCGTGCCAGAAGATTGACAGTCAAATTTCTTGGCAAGTTTTGATGAATGCACTGGAAATCACAAAGGGTTAATAACTTTGTTCCCTGATAAAGTTTTCGTTTATCTAAAACCTTTTCTTTGTCCTGTATCATGGCATTGAGAGGCACGCTGGTGACTGGTGCGGCAGTCTCGTTTAACCAATACTCGCATGCAGGTTCATTTAATCAGTTTCTGTCAAGGGAACAAAACAATTAGAAATCCCATCATCACATGGGAACTGAGCCTTCTGACCTTCAAATTTAATTCCAAAAAAAAGGGCTAACTAAATATGATCATGTAAAAAATTATCAGCGAAAAACCATATTGTTAACTTATAAAAATAAATTTATGATATATATCTTACATTGCTAAATGAAAAAAATATATATATTAAATGAAAAATGAAAAAAATTGAACCTGCATCCCATATATCAAAGAGTAAGGAGTTGCATCTGTAGAAGCTCTGACTATAATGTAGTATGTATTTATTTTGAACATTCAACCCCCACGTATCAAAAGGCTAATATAAATTTGTATTGAACAAAAATTTCTGGTGATGCATTATCTTGTCACTATATATCTAATATTAATTTATAACACTTCCTGACATAAATTATTATTGTTTTTTTTTTTTTTTTTTTTTTTTTTTTTTTTTTTTGGAGAATTATGGAAAACCAGTAAAGGTAAACGGTAGAGAATCTCTAAAATGTGTTTTACTAGTTAAGAAATCTAGAAAACTAGTTTTCCACTTATTTTAATTTTATTTTTTATTTTTTGTCTAAATAGTCTCTAAAATTTTCGTCCCGCACTTGCCTTTTGTTTTTTTCCTTCTCCGGAGGTATTCTTTACATTTGACTCAGTGCTTCTGCTGCATGTAGATCCTTGAGACTGCCAGTTGACATCTTGATGGAGCCATTAATTTTAGAATGATGCTTGGGTATGGAAATCTTATGCCACCCCAGTACTTTTAGCATTAGAAAAAGTTCGGATTGATGAAAAGCAGTCTGGGAAATTTTAACGAAATAAGGTATGTGGTGCGTACGAGTTGAAAAGGGAAGCAAAATCCGCGTTGCATTTGCAGAATTGAAAATAATAGAGATCCCTCAGCTGTTGTCAATTTTCAGAGGCTTGCAAGGCCTTCCCGCGATGTAACAGGCAGCTGACAGGCACTTGGAACCAAGAAATTAACGTCATGAAGCTGGTTCAATGCCACCAGCTTGTGTGGCACATGCAAGCTAGATATTCATTGCAAATCTAGTTGGTGTTGTTTTCAGCTGGAGCTGAAGACTTAGTAGCTGCAACTAGCAACAAGGACAGAACTGGGATGCTGCTCCATTGCTTAACTTCTTAATTCGAGTCAGACCACAAGATTACTCAAAATTTCTTCCTTCAGCAAGCTGTATTTATAGAAGTGAGAGAGAGCTAGTCATATAATTTTCCTACTGCTCAAAAAAGAGAGAACAATAGAAAAACTGAGATGCAAAATGAAAATTAGATATGCCTTCCTGAAATATGAAAACAACATTTCAATGAGCTGGGCTGCGACCCCTTATTCATCAGGTCTGGTATAATTTACACAAATACAACAAAAACTCACTGTGACACAAGTTATCCATTTCGAAGCTGGCTTGCTTCTTTCTTAGTCTGCAAAGCCACTTATATATGTACAAAGAAGTCCTCAAAGTATGGCCAATGCACATCAAACAAGCAGAGCAGCAGCTAACATTTAATTCTCGTCTAACCACAAGTGCCTGACAGAAGGCCAATCTACAATTTGATCGTCTGATTGATGGGAATTGGCAAGACCTTTTGATTTAGGGGGATCCACGCGAGCTTTTGATTTAGGGGGTTTCACGCGAGCTTTTGATTTGCGGGTAGCTAAATGAAGAGCTTCTGGTTTGGGGGTATCTAAACGAAGAGCTTCTGATTTAGGTGGATCCACATTAACAGGAAATTCTGATATAAGGGGATCAGCATGAACTTTTGATCTGGGGGATTCTGCAAGAGCTTCTGATTTAGGGGGATCCACTTGAAAGTTTGATTTGGGGGGATCTAAACGTAGAGCTTCTGATTTTGGGGTATCTAAACGACGAGCTTCTGATTTAGGGAGATCCACATTAACAGGAACTTCTGACATAAGGGGATCAGCATGAACTTTTGATCTGGGGGATTCTGCAAGAGCTTCTGATTTAGGGGGATCCACTTGAACGTTTGATTTGGGGGGATCTAAAAGAGCTTCTGAGTTACGGGGATCCACGTTAACAGGAGCTTCTGACAAGGGGGGATCTACCAGAGCGTCTGATTGAGGGAGATCAGCATGAGCTTTTGGTATAGGGGGGTGTTGAATAAGCAAGGGCGGTATGTAGATTGATATGATGGCAATTGCAAGAATGAAGAAGAGAGAGATATACAAGGAGAGGCTTAAACTACGAACCTGCAAGCAAATTATCAGAGTCAGCACACTTTATGCTGCCGAAAGACAAGCCATGACAAGTATTATTCAGTAGCAGAAACGTATAGTGATGTACCATGTCACAGTTTCAGTTTGATAAAACAAGTTGGACACTATCCAAATATACGAATGACAGACAGATTATTCACGATGATGCTATAAAAGTCAGTCTCCCTAGTTTCAAGGAAGGAAAGTTCTGATCTTCCAAGCAGTGCAAGCCTCCTCAAATCTAATTTAGTTCAATATGAATCAAATCTAATTTAGTTCAATATTTTACATCAAGCCGTAAGGATACAAGTGCATTGCAGGATAATAAGTATAAAAAATAGCAGAGCAAGAACCGCCCAAATGAAATAAGGTGAAATGCAGTGGGATCGGTCCTGGGATGTGGTTCTTCCACAAATAATTTTGACAAACATTCATGAGATCTGTAATATCGTGACAGATAAATTTGGGAAGCATAAAAACATCAAAAGTGTTTCCTGCACCTGAAAAGAATCTTGTTAAAGTGATCTTGATACCATGCCACAGGCTTTCCATGTTGACATCTCAGGCAGGGACAAATCATTACCGTTCAAAAGAAAAGGTAGAAGTTTCTACAGTTGAATGTTTGTGAAAGCTACCAATCAGGAAAAATAAAAGTGCAAAGATGATTCATATAAACCAAACCTTTTTAGCTATCTGGCGTTGGTGAGGAAGATTTTTATCAGCATGCTCCAGGGAATAATGCAGCATGTTAACTATTGTCAATTCAGTTACTGGATCATGGCTTTCTGCAAGCAGAAAATGGTTATAATTAAATCTTCATAGCTCTTTGTTACTAAGTCCTGCCAAATAAAAATATGTACAATTATTTCACAGAAAAGGTCAATTATGACAAAGAAGAAAAGAATCAAAGAACCAGATGGGATCACCTGGAATGTCAAAAATTTGTTTCGCAGGGGGGATACCCAGCAGCTCCCCCAAATGAACACGCACTCGGGCACGATCATTGAGTGAAAGTAAATCACCATGCGTAACAACAACCACAGGTTTATCATCTGCAATGATAAGAATCAGGAAACATTAGGCTATTAATATAAACATGAACATAAGAAAACATTGATTGAAAATAAGATGAGCTAAGGCCATAACTAGAGGACAAACTACTGTAGAAGAAATACATGCAGATTATGTTCTAATTTCTTATGATGTTGCGATGAACACTGACCAGTCTAGCATTGTTATTGTCAGAAATAAATTTAGAGGTTTCACAAAATTAAACATCAAAGAACCATAAGGGCTTCTGACATGAAACTTTAGCTTGTGGAGAGCCTCGAAGCAGTGACGGAGAGTGGATTAGATTTTTTTGGAGGGCTAGAATAATTTTGAAACAAACCTAAATTTCAGGGACTAGAGTGATTTTCTGAAAATTGTAGGAGTCCACAACTCTCACAAGCTTGGCTGATGGCCACCACTGCCTGGAGGCATGACTGTACAGTGAAAGAAGCAGCTCCTCTTGAAAAAAAAAAAATTGACTTGGAAATTATATAAAGTGATATAAAAGAGGAGCTATGAACCTCTGAGGATATGCATGTGCTTGACCATAAACACGTTACAATTTAAGAAAAGAAAGCAGAATTTCCTTGTACCATTAAACGATATATATGGGCAGTCAAAAGTTTTAGCAATCATCTGTGTATACTTTTTCCCTCCGTCTACAAGATTATCCATGGATTTCAGAACTGCAAGCCCATCAACAACAAATATGACAAAGTTAACCATCCTGGTTTCCTTGGACTGACAACCATTCCCACGAGCTTTGCAGTTCATTTTGTTCCTCAAATGTGAATTATCTGATGGCCTGATAGGAAATCATAGCAGTGAAATTATGTAATGTAAAACAGACCTAAGATTGCCAAACCTAGTACTGAGAAGCTAGAAATTCAAACCTAATAATGAGCTCCCGATGATGAACACCTTTTGTGATCCAATTCTTGAGCATTTTAGCGCTATCATATGAGTCATAGGACAAACCACGGGTATCATAAAGACAGAAAGAAGTTGAACCTCTTGGGATCATATATTCCTGAAGGAAGTAGGTTCCATCTGCAGCAGATGAGTTATCTGCAGCAAGAAATAACTTCGAGTATCACTGAAATGAAATGAGTAAATTTACTTTCTTAAATAATTGTCCGAAATAAAAGTGAAGATTGCATCCATCAAAAAGATCCACAACATCTTGATTTCAAATGGCATTTAAGTGACAAAAAAGTAGCATGTACATGATACTTGAGCTCTCTCAGATGCAAACTTGTCATCTTCAAACACCTTGGAAATTCTATTTATAAGGCTGCTTTTCCCAGATCCCTTTGGACCGATTACGAGGAGGACTGTTGTGTTTGGCACATCAAAGTCACTCAATTTCATGCCAATCACATTCTCCATCCATCCTCCAGGAGTATAACTGTGAAAATCATATACAATGTGTACTTAGATTAGACATCACATATTCAAAATATGATGATTATAATAATGAAAAGAAGATTTATTTCTTGAAACAGCCAATGTCTTGATTTGCCAAGTCAATTTCATAAAGCCAACATGCAGTGAATCCAAAAAATTTAAAAAGGAGCCCGATTAAAGGCAGCCATCGTCATAAGATGGCACAAGCTGAAATGCACCATCAGTACAACCAACAGAAATTAACATACAAAGATATTTCTCCAGTGGACCTTGCCTCTCAAGAACAAAATCCTAGAGCACACCCATTTTGAATAATTAGTTCCTCACTTACCCTACACAGGCAAGCAAACTGATAATTCAAAATTCATCCCTTTCTTTTCCTCCAGTATCTATAACTACGAAATACATTAAGTCAATGAAAACTAACTGTGAATACCTCAAGATTTTGCTCTTTCCTTCCTCCAAGCTCTTGCTTCTATCCTTCAACTGATGATAACTCTGCAAGACTTCCATGTAAGCAGTACTCAACTTCTTCTGGTTGGCTTGAAGTTCCAAAAAACTTGAAGGAATTCTAGATCCTTCATACACCGACCCACACTCTCCATCCATAGTTCCACCCTCATTTTTCTCTTGAAATCTATGCACAAACAGACTCCGATTTAACAATTTATCAACATTTTCAAATAAATAAAAAATCCCAATTGGGTACTGAGCGAAAATAACAGAAACAAAAAGAGCGGGCCTTTGACCTTTCTCTATGTTATAAAGAAAGACTGACCCTTTTCAAGCTATTGCTAAAAATTAGGCAGAAACAACCATGAGGGCCAATCAAGATAGTTCTTTTCTACCACTCATTTATGCTTAATTTTGGAAACTCAACAGTAGCAATAAACGTAGATGTCAAGCTTAAGCTTCAATTTTTCTGTTCTAGTGGTTACTTTCTAGGCAAGCAATAAGGAACTAAACAGAGATTAAGGAACTATTTATCAAAAGATTAGTATAGTGAGTAGAGATACCTTTGAAAAGAGAAGGACCCGGGAGGAGATGATGATGATGATTGCAAAGAATTTTGTTCCACTGAGGATTCTTCCGCTGCATAAGCAAATTAAAAGGTGTATATCAATCACCACTTACCACCGTTTACACTTCTCTCATTCACTCCAGAACACAGAGCCAAAAAAGTAATAGACAGAAAGATAAACAGGATACCGGGGGTGAAACCGAGAGGCATATCTTCGCCGCCGCCGCCGCCCATGTTTGCTTGCTTGCTAGTTTCAGTTGGTTTCTGTGTGCCGGGAAGAAGAGCAAGAGAGACCTTTTTTCAAGCAGCTTTTTCTTGTCGGTTAAGGTATTGTTAGTGATAATGGTAATTGCTGTTTTTTTAAAAAAAAACAAATTAATTAATTAAGATGTTTTTTTAATTTTTAAAATTTATTTTTACCATCAATATATTAAAATAACTCAAAATTATAAAAAAAAAAGTAATTCAAAAAAGTAATTTAATATCACTTTTTAATACAAAAAAACAATCCTAGAATGTTTAGGATAAAGTTTTCAAAAACTTTCAATTTTTTAAATTAAATTTTTATTTAATATTTTTATATCATCTTTTATTAATATAAAAAATTAAAAAATATATATTTAAAAAACAAACCGCTCTTTAAAATTTAAACTGACTTCTTTCCTGGCACCAGAGGTTAATGGACACAGCCACAAGTCAATGAATGATAATATGGTTGCATCATGCCACGTGGTTCAATTTTATCCATCCTTTCATGGCTTGGGCGTTATTTCTTTTCTTTCTTTCTTGTTTTTATCAATATCTAATTATGAATCAGATTTTATGATTATTAAAACAGATATTTGTTAAAAAGGCAATGGTTTAAGTTTTATACATACATACATATATATATATATATTAGGTGATTTTTTTATTCATGTTTTTTAATTTCCAGAAAAACAAGCCTCTTTTTTAGTAGCAAAAAATAAAGATAATTAAAATAAATATTTATAAGAAACTCAATAATTTAAATCAGTAAGGAAAAACAGATATCTTTAATTAAAATAAATATTTTATTATTTATTTATTTTTTCAAAATATTTTTTATCAGAATTATGTTTTATAAATAAAAACCTATGTGATTTGAAAAGGCATGTTTAGAAAGGGAAAAAAAAAGACACTATAATTTGAATGCAATTATAAAAAAAAATGGTTTATCTGATAAATTATGTATAAAATTTACAATAAAATAAATATTTTATTTCTTATTGAAAATTCATGAACATATATTTTTTAAATGTTTTGCATATTAAGTCATAGAAAATAATTTATATATAATTTTTAATATTACTATAAAAATTATAACCTTATTGAAAATTATATAATACAATTGGATAATTTCTAAATGTCATCTTAATAATTTTATTTAAGATTAATTTTATTATAAATTAAAAAAATAAGTTAACAAAAAACTAGAGGCTATTTTAAAATAACAGACACGTAGGCCTAGAAGGAAGGCCCCCACGCCTAGCCTAGAAGAAAAATTTAAGCGCGCTTGGGTTTACAAGGCCACGCTCTCTCGCACATGACTTGTTTTAACGGGCATTGTCCAGCAAGAGCAATTAACACCTATATTCCAAGTATTTTGAATCTCATAAATAAAGCTTTTCTATTTATTTTTATATTTTAAAAATATTTAAAAAATAAAATTTTTATTTTTTTATTTTAAATTATTTTTTAATTTTTTTATATCATTTTCATGTACTTTGTCAAAATTAATTTTTAAAAATACAAAATAATATTATTTTGATATATTTTTTAATAAATAACACTTTAAAAAATAATCAAATCAACATTTCAAATACCACTTAAATTTTTATCTAGAAATAGAGGAAAATCTTAAAAACCTTATTAATTTCATTTTCAATTTCAAAATACTATCCAATTTATATAAAATTAAATTACAAATGATTATTTAGTAGATGACTTAATGGTAAGAATTTGATATTAAAAAGTTTGTTTTTCTAGTGATTTTAAATTTGAGTATTGCAGTTGTTAATATAATAATTATTAGAAGTTTATATAATTATTAATTTTAAAATTTATAAAACTAATTAAGGTATGTGCTTGATCCGAATACTACATTAATATTAAAAAAAAGTTAAATTGAAAGGCATAGGTGGCAAGATGCTACAAGACCATTTGGCAGTGCTGTCTGAACAAGATAGCCAATTTTTTAAGAGAGGCGAGGCGTACTGGCAGACACTCGTTTCTAGTTCGGCATGGATGGTGGGAGTTGGATCCCATTCAACTTGGTTTCTAATTCTATACGCCACAATCCTACCCAACTTCAACTAGAGAGTCTATGATGCCCCCATACATGGCTTTTTACCACATATTCTATTCGGTATCTGGTATTATTATGAATTTGATGACGGTGGAGGTGCTCACAAAAGTTCTGTGCAAATCGAGAGTCCATCACGGTTCACCATCCTTATAATAAGGTTGTGTTTACTTACTGTTTTGAAATAAAATAAAAATAAAAATAATAAAAGCAGAATTGTGTTTGCTTAAAAAAAATGGAGATGGAAACATGATAATAAATTTTTTTTTAGAATAATTTTTTAACTTATAAAACATGAGGTACTCGTAAGATATATCTCTAAATATAATATTTTTATAAAAATAATTATTTTTAAAATTATTAATAAAAATAATAATTATTATTATTTTAAAACTTAATTTGAAAGTTGATCTAAGATAAAGATTAAGTCTATCGTTGAAATCTAAATCACAAGTCAAACATTTGTCATGAAAATAAAAATAATAATTATTATTATTTTTACATTTCAATTAAGATGTCGTTCCAAGATAAGGTCTTGGTCACGAGTAAAGTTAATCATTAACCCGAGTCAATATAAAAATAAAAATAATTATTATCATAATTTTCAAATCCGACCCAAATATAGTCAGGAGGGTAAGCTCAATTGACTTAAACTTATATAAAATAAAAATAATTATTATCATGATTTTAAAACTAGGTTAATATAAATAGGGGGAAAGGCACAGGTCACGAGCTAGAAGGGTTAGTCATGGTTAACCTAGGTTAATATAAAAATAAATATTATTATTATCATAGTTTTTAAACTTGATTCGAGGTTAACGAGATCAAGGCTCGGATCATGGGTTCAAAGGGTCAACATGAGTTGACCCAGGCTAGTGTGTGAATAAAAATTATTATTATCATAATTTTAAAACTCAACTCGAAAGTCAATCCAATATAAGATTCAAGTCACAAGTTAAGAAAGTCAATCTGAATGATAAAAAAAATCGAGAGTCTGATGTTGCAGTTAAATCTAAAACTTTTTGATATAATTTTATAAAAAATATATAATATTTTTAAATATTAATTTTTTTTAATATTTTTTATGTAAAAAATAAACTCATGACATCACGTGAGTCATTTAACTAATCATTACTAAACACCATTATATTTTTATTTATTTATTTTATCTTGTCTCTATTGTTTGTGTCTCTTCTTTTACGAAGAGAATAACCAAAACGCTGTGTAAGGAATTGTTTTATATGTGTTGGCTCCTACCAGCAAACAAATAGCGGGCGGCAGGGGTGGAGGGGGGCCTTTGTCACCCAAAGCCGAAAACAATGTATAAAAGCCATTTGCTCTGCACTTTATTGTGGATGGTATAATTGTTTTCATAAAAAATATATATATGCTAGCCTTTTTAAAGAATTTTTATTTTCATATTAAATAAAAAATAAAAATACTTATTTTAAAAAATAAAAAAACCTGAATAAACCAAAATTTACATGCCAAAAATAAGGGATTCACTTGAAACTAAAATAAAAAATAGCCTTGATTTTTTAAAGTTTGACAACAAAAGGCGGTTTTTTTTCCCTCAAGGTGAATAAAAAAGACCATTTAAAAAAAATAAACAAACAATGAAATGGTATTTTTTTAAAGGGTTAAAAACACATTAATTTTTTTTTTTTTAAAGGGTTAAAAACACATTAATTTTAAAAAAAAAAATAGACGAGGTATGTAGACCTACTATGTGTTTAACTTGTAAAAATACATGACTTGTGCGTTAGGTCCTAGAAAAATACATGATCCGCGAGCCATTATCTTTTTCCCAGCATCATTAGAGGACGGATAATGCACCATTAACCCTTTATTTATTTTTAAAAAACAACTATAGACAATTAGTCATTTGCTAAACCTAACGCCTAAGGATTGCTGAAAAATAAGGCTTTGGGCATTTCTTGTTAAAAAATTCAATTTTCAACTCATTTTAACTCGAGATATATTAAATATTGTGTTAAACTCATTAATAACTTTTTAAAAAATAAAAAATCCAAGTTAATCTGAAACCAAAACTCGTCCTAAGTTCACGTATGTCAACTTTGAACACACCGCTTATTTTCAATATATTTTTCACGTTGATCCTTCTTCTTTTCAATGAAGCAATTAGGTATCAATTTTGCAACTAGAACCCAATACAAAGAAAAAATATTTGGGGACCAAAATGCAAAAAAAAAAGAGCACTACCTGAGTGCACAATGCACTGTGTGCATAGTGTTTTACACCGTTGACGA